AAACAATTCTTATTTTTCAACATAATTAATATGATTTTGTCCCAATCCAAATCCATAGTCTTTTCGGTGCCTCTCCATCGGTCCTCGTTTTAATAATGATTGCGTCGTCCTTTAGAGTAATTGTGCACTCTCCTCTTGCCATATGAAAAGTATGAGTCTACGAACGCCAATTATCTATCAATATCATGATCAAACCATGATTATTACCTTCACCTTTCTTATATCATGCACTTTATCTAACTCTATCATCTTGAGACGGGACTTGTATACCTCATTCCAAAGCGAAAACTTCGTGATTGTGTTTTCATCCTATAAAATATGAGGTTATGTTTATTATTTTCTATAAATTTAATCAGTATTAATAAATTAAAATATAGTTAAGTTGCGGATAATTACCGGATTGTTCCAGACAACGGTAGATCTCTGCATATATTGGGAATGCGATAGTGCAGAATCTATTAACCCGAGATCGATGTAATATCTTGGATCTTCTTCCGTTATCTATTAAGTAATAACATTTAATATTAATTCCTTACCCATAAAGCTTGTACCACATCAATTAATTACAAGGGATTTAATGAATTTATAAGGTCACCTCAACATTAATAATTAAAAGAGCTAGTTGGGCCTTGTGGGTTGGATTTTTGGGCCTATGTGGCCAAACTCTTTCTCCCATACAAGATGGTCGACCCGTCTCCCTGGTCTCCAAGTTAACAGCCTCCTCAATACCCTTGGTATGAAATTTGGACCCCAAAAGGACTAAGTTTGGAAGCCAATGCGGCAAAACAAGGTGCCAAACGACAGAGTACCAAGCCGGCAAGGCAGTCCTGGTACCAAAATATATGAAAATTGGCTAAATATGGAGCCAATGGGGTACCAAACCAACAAGGCAGGACTTGATAACATGACATGGAATTTGGTTAAGTATAGAGCCAAAGGGGTATCAAGCCAAAAAGGAAGACTTGATACCAAAAGACATGAAATTTGGCTAAGTATGAAGCCAAGAGGGTACCAAGGCGGCAAGCCAGGCTTAGTTCCCAAATATATGAAAATTGGCTAAAGCCGACAAGGTGGGCTTGATACCAAGACACCAACAGGGTACTGAGCTGGCAAGACAGGCTTGGTAGCTAGGCAACACGGTACCAGGACCCCAAGAGGGTAAATTTGGCTAAGTATGGAATCTCCTGGTCTAGAGGGCCATTCAACAGGGTGTCATACCATCCATAACTACATGGGGTCATTCGATAGGGTACCAAGCCTAGCAAGATATAAAATTTGGCTAGGTATGAAATCTCATGGCCAGGGGGTCATACGATAGGGTGTCATACCAGCCATAGCAACAGGGGGCCAAATAACAGGATACCAAGCCGGCTTGGTACCAAAGCAAGAAGGTACCAAGTCGACAAAGGCATGCTTGGTACCCTTAGATTATCAAAACCAAGTATGGAATCTCGAGGGTGGAGACTTGTAAGCCAAGTTACCGAGCTGACAGGGTATCAACTTGATAGAGAATTGGGGTAGAGCCCCTTAGGGGGGGGGGGCATATGGAAACTAATTCCCAATACGGACTTGGTGACCCCCTAACAGGGTACCAAGCCGGCAGGGCATCAAGGTACCAACTTGATGGAATTCTAAAAACTGAGTATAATGATCAAGCCGACAACACTAGCTTTGTGGCAGGGGCCGACATGACTGGCTTGTTAGCAGGAGGTATCAAGATGGCTTGATACCAAGATGACAAGATCCCTAAGACTAAGTATGGAGGTAAGAGGCCAAGTTCTCATCCTGTGTAGGTGGGTAACAAGGTGGCTAGAAAGATGAGGATGGTACCAGGCCGACATGGAGGGGGATCTCTCTCATATAATCAAGGTGGTGGCGGTCTCAAGACACCAGTAGCGTGGAGTCATCAGGGCTGTCGATGCTGTGATCAAGACTTCATAATGGAGGATAAGGCAAAAAGCTTCAACCCCATCCAACCAGTACAAGGCAACAAGATTCAACATCAACCCTACCTGGCTTCGAGGCCATCAAGTACCAACCAGTCAACAAGGTCAGGCAAGGGGCCCCAAGGTGATTGGAGTCAACACCAAGGCGGCAACAAGGGGTCCTAATGCGGTTGGAGCAACAGGCCGGCTAGTAGTTACCAGGGCAGTTACCAATGCAACTACATCTAGTGGCTATAAATAGGAAAAACGAAGAAGAAGCAGGGGTTCCACAACCAACCATTTGACAACACATGTCAAACTTTATCTTTTTCTCTGCAATGTAGCCATAGTCGTAGCTTTTAGTTTCTGGAGCTTTCTCTGAACCTCCATAGGAGTAGAGTAACTTAACTTAGTTTTCTTAGCCATCAAAATCATCAAACACCCTCGTTCGAACTTTGTTTGAAGAGGAATGAACCGTGTTATTAATCGTTGTTCAATAAGTCAAGGTGTAAAGCATTAATATCAAACATCAGAGATTTTCCTCGCTAGAATACAGCAGTAACACATTCTTCAGTTACTGTATTCTTTAGTTAACATATTTTAATACATTCTTAGTAAATATTCATTAAGTTAACTAACAATATTCCTTACACATTAAGATAATATTCATTGCACATTATAACTTGATTCCTTAGACATTATAACAATATTCATTACACAATAAAATAATATTCGTTACACATTCTAACAATATTTGCTACACATTATAACAATATTTCTTGCCCATTCTAAGAAATGTTAACCAACAACATTATAATAATATGTGCCTAGCAATTAACTAATCATTCTACATCATACAAATACTAATAAAAATTCTTAGTTTTTAGGTTTAATAACATTTTATGCCCTTCTCCTACTGTAAATTAACAAACATATCATTCTACTATTTTTTTTTCCCACAAACATAACATTTTATTATTAAAATATAACAACTCTACCCTTCTGTCAAATTTTCTGTTAATCAGCTCTTAAAGGATGAGAAATGACCCAGATGACCCTTACTTAGATTTGACACCGATATATTGCCAAGACATTTTAGTCTCTGTCTCCCTCTGTCCAATAGTAGAGAAAAGTAGAGAATAACTTTCCACAGGAATACTTACATCCCCATCTACAAGTATAATCAAATGTACGAATCAACTATAAAAAAAAAATCAAAAACAGAAACCATAAACAGTTCCTAGCTACAGAATCCAATGCTAATGACTAATAAGAACAGTATTTGAATTTGCCGATTCTAACTGTACGCTCCCTTCTGTTTCTTCTTCCTCTGTATAATTAGGGGGGAGGGATTAGAAGCCCGTCCGAAGTTCGACTATTGGGGGAATTCTTTCTTGGCGGACTCAACGCACGGAGAAGTAGTTGCGGAACTCGGGGCGAAGTCGGGGGATGAGGCAGACGAACGGGTGGAGTTAAATTGCCGATTGAAATTTGAAGCGGGCCTCGTGAATTTTAGTTTTAAATAAATGGGATGTGATAAAAAAAATAATAAACCGAAGTGTAAGTGAGGGATATTTGGGTGATTTTTTAGCCTCTTTAACGGGCGATTAACAGAAAATTATTAGGGAAGTGTAGAGTTATTAGATTTTAATAATAGAAGGATATGTTTTTGCATACGGATATATTTTTGCTGAAAAATAGTAGAAGGGTACATTTGTTAATTTGCAATAGTAGAGGGATACAAAATGCTAATAACCCTAATTCTTAAACACTGAATGTTTGAAAAAAATTACCTTACAAAATTTTCCTCGAAAATTCGTCGGAGCTTCGCCGAACTTGGTTGGTGTGTGGCATTGTGAAAGATGAGAGGAGGTGTTGCGTTATATGTCAAAATGAGGAAGTAAGAGAGGAAGGTGAGATTTTATAAAAACTAGAGGAGAGAGAATGTCGTCACCCGAACAGGCTGCCTTCCTTCTGATTGGCTGAGGGAGTTTGACACATATCGCTCGTCTCCGAAACTGTCATAGCTATACTAGACCACGCCAGTGCGGTCGGTCTGTACCAGGCAGACCATGTTGAAAATTAAAATTCACTCTTATTCCACCCTTCAACCCTCCCCTGTATCTATGAATATAAAAATTCCAATGACCAATATGCTAGTGAAACAAAAATTTAGTGATCAAAATTAAAATGCAAAGAAATTTATGAGGGGAGAAGTGTACTTTTGCAATTTTCAAAACACATACATCAAATTTAAAATAGCCTTGCATTCCTCTTCCTCTTTGTGCTACCGCTTCTCCCTCTCTCGAGTGATCCAGAAGATTCTCGCGGTAGATCACCATCTTGATGACGTCGAGATCGTTTGGATAACTAAGATGGTCGCTTATCTCTTACTGTTTTTTTTCTTATCTCATCAAGGTGAATGAAATTTTTCTAGTGCTTATGTTTTTATCAACCCCATAGTCTAGACATTGTCAGTGAATATTATGTATGAATCTTTCTTGTTTTTGTTTGTTCTTTGATAAGGAGATAATGCATAAGCAATCGTTTGGGCGATCTGTTGGCTGTCAAGTGGATGAATAATCAACCAACTTTGTTCTTCAAATAAATAAATGGATGTTTAGTTTTATTTTGGTCTGAGTTAGTAGGTAGTGTGTCACGGTCTACTGCATTAGACCGCGGTCCAAACCACTTTAGACCACACACTAAAGCAGGAGATCGTAAAGCTGACCACAGTTCTGGTCACACGGTCCAGACCAAAATTTCTCATACACGGTTTAGACCGCAATTTTCCATACGGTTTGGTCTAGATTCTCAGCCCTAAATTAGCGGAATATAGTACCCCTAAGTATTCATAAAGTTGCAGAGAAATACACGATTATGAATTAGGTCATATAATTGGTGCGATCAAAGCAAGACATTACCGAGAAACCCAAACACAAGAAATTCATAGGGACGAAAAAAAGGTAATTATCTGGAAAAAGGAAAGGAAGATAAATATTAAGCAACAGAGCAACGTACAGTACGTAGAAAGCATGCACATTTAAAGAGACACACATTCGATCAGTGATAAAGTCATGCAATAACGTTCTTGAAACTGATGGAGCAATCCTGGAGCGTGACGCGGCCGCTGATTGCGCGATGGCAACGGGAGTTGATGATGTCCTTTGTCGTGCGCAGACACGACCAGCAATCCAGCGGAGCCAACTCCTTGTTGCAAGTGGCTACGCCATTGACGGAGCCATTGATGTCGCGATTCGGGTAGCTGTGATCGTAAACGTAGTCCGCTCCCGGTTTCCTGTACGTGTTCTTGGTCTCGTCCACGAAGAAATCGAGAAGGTGACGCAGGTTGTCGTTGTACTCCTTGTTCGAGTTCCCCGAGCACACAGGCAGCCCGACCACTCTCGTCTTCGGAAACCTTGCTTCCACTGCAACGCTAAGCATTGTGCCGAACACAACCAGAACCAGCAGTATCGCACATTTCGAAACCATATACATATTTAACGCAGTGTTTTTTTTTTTTTTTTTTTTTTGTAGGAAGTCAAGGTGTGATGAGCTTATTTAACATGGACGCGCCATTTTATAGGTTAAGCGTTTTTGGGCGTACGTGCTTAGCGCGGCAACCAAACAACGGAACAAAATTAAAGGAGATTCGGCATATGACTACTACTATACCTGCGTTGCAAGTTCCCCTCCTCCTGCCAGCTTGAGATCGATGCTAAGTTTGTATTCTTTTGCTTGGAAAGATCGTAGGAAAGGTGTAATACGGCACGAGGGAATTGTGTTCTGCATGTTATATACAGAAACTGAACGGAACTGGGCCTTGCGAGTTCCGATACTGGATTGTACATAGACGACACCAAAACGCATCATAGTATGCAATTTTGGAACCGGAGTTTGTGCAACCTCCATTTTGGTCACTGGAATTTTTTGTATTCATAGAGACAGGGGACGGTTGAAGGATGGAATAAGAGTGAATTTTTTTTCAACATGTTCTGTTTGGTCTAGACCGACCGCACTGGCGTGGTCTGGTCTAGCTATGGAAGTTCTGGAAGACAGGTGGCATCTTGTGGTTGGGCGAGCGGGAGAGACGTGGATCCCTAGTTTGGAAAGCGAGATGTAGGGAATATCGGTGGAGGGCATCAATAACATTTTCTGTGATTGGACGATGGAGAGGGAATTGGATAGATCCTTACTACCTTGCAAATCGTGTGGCTGAAAAGCGATCTACGCTATGTTTGTCGCGCCAAAGACAGCGATATGTGTCAAACTCCCCGCCGCCGCCAATCAGAAGGAAGGCCGTATGTTTGGGTGACGACATTCTCTCTCCTCTAGTAATTATAAAATCTCACCTTCCTCTCCTGCTTCGCTTCCTCATTTTCACATATAACGCAACACACCTCCTCTCATCTTTCACAATGCCACACAACAACCAAATTCGGCGAAACTCCGATGAACTTTTGAGGAAAATTTTGTAAGGTAATTTTTTTTTAAAAACAATTAGTGTTTAAGAACTAGGGTTAATAGTATTTTGCAATGTTGTCAAAACCGAACCGGAGCATGACCCGGTAATACGAACGGCTCGCACTTTAGTGGTCCAGCCGGCATTAGACCGTTAAAATACCGTTAAAGAACCGGTACCTGATAAACGTTATCAGTATAAATAGTGGACATTTCTTAATCAGAGCTCATCTCTTTCCTTCGAAATTGTGAAATGGAAATAAGGATTCAGTTTGAGAGCCCCGCGTTTTTGGTTTATTTCAATTTTCAAATTTTTGCAATTTTTTAATTAAATTTAGTGGCTGAATGGCAAAAACCGGACGAGCGGCTCGAACGGTTAACCGCCTCGGCCGCTCGCCAACCGTTAAATAAAACCGGAGCGGCTTTTAGACTGTTCCGAGCCGGTTTTGTGACCGGGTGACGGTTTTACTGGTCGGGCCGAGTGGCTCGGCTCGGCTTTAATAACACTGGTATTTTGTACCCCTCTACTATTGTAAATTAACAAATGCACTCTTCTACTATTTTTTACAAAAACATATCCTTCTATTATTAAAATGTAACAACTCTACACTTCCGTCTAATTTTTTGTTAATCCCTTGTTAAAGAGGTTAAAAAATTACGCAAATACCCCTCACTTACACTTAATTCGATTTATTATTTTTTTTATCACACCCCATTTATTTAAAACTAAAATTCACCAGGCCCGCTTCAAATTTCAATCGGCAATTTAACTCCACCCTTTCGTCTGCCTCATCCCCCAACTTCGCCCAAGGATCGTCAAGATATACTCCGGCGAACCCTTGGCGGCGGCTGCAACCGCTCTTCATTGTCAGTGCTGGAGAAGCGGCGACTTTCTCCAGGCGAGCAGCGACGGTCCCCTTCGATCGAGTGTCCAAAGTCCAAACCAGCAGCAACTGCTTTTCTCCCACTGAGCAGCGCGGCGAGTTCCGCAACTACTTCTCCGTGCGTTGGGTCCGCCGAGAAAGAAGAAACAGAAGGGAGCGTACAGTTAGAATCGGCAAAATAAAATACTGTTCTTATTAGTCATTAGCATTGGATTTTGTAGCTAGGAACTGTTTATGATTTCTGTTTATTATTTTCTTGTAGTTGATTCGTACATTTGATTATACTTGTAGATAGTAGAATGGTATGTTTGTTAATTTACAATAGTAGAGCGGTACAAAATGCTATTAACCCTAAGAACTAAGAATTTTTGTTAGTATTTGTATGAGGTAGAATGATTAGTTAATTGCTAGGCATATATTATTATAATGTCGTTAGCCAACATTTCTTAGAATGCGCAAGAAATATTGTAACTATGTGTAACGAATATAGTTTTATTGTGTAACGAATATTGTTATAATGTCCAAGGAATCATGTTATAATGTGCAATGAATATTATCTTAATGTGTAAGGAATATTGTTAGTAAACTTAAAGAATGTATTAGTTCAAATATGTTAAGTAAAGAATGTGGTAATTGAAGAATGTGTTGCTGGCGAATTAATATTAAATGTTATTACTGAATAGATAACTGCAGAAGATTCAAGATGTTACATCGATCTCGGGTTAATAGATTCTTCACTTTTGCATTCCCAAAATATGCAGAGATATACCGTTGTCCGAAATAATCCAGTAATTATCTGTAACTTAACTACATTTTAATTTATCAACATTGACTAATTTTATAGAAAATAATAGACATAACTTCATATTATATAGGATGGAAGAAATCACCAAGTTTTTCGCTTTGGAATGAGGTATACAAGTCCCGTCTCAAGATGATAGAGTTAGATAAAGTGCATGATATAAAAAAGCTGAAGGTTAATGATGGTTTGATCATGACATTGATAGATAGTTGGCGCTCGTACCCTCATACTTTTCATATGACAAAAGGAGAGTACACCATTACTCTAAAGGACATCACAATCATTATTGAAACGAGGACCGATGGAGAGACACAAAAAGACTATCGATTTGGATTGGGACAAAAGGAGCGAAAAGATGGGTAGAAGTGTAACCGTAAAAGCGAAACATAAAAACATAATTTTTTATATATCGAGTAAAATTGTTAGAAATTTTCTAATGAGAACATGTACTCTTTGAAGCATAACATTTTCCAATAACTATATTGGTCAAACATTTTAAGATCAGTAGTCATAACACAAACAAATTTAATTAATAAGCTTGTAAAGTAGAATGAAATACCAAATCCATAGAGTATATTTTTCGTAGTTTTCTTGTACACATCATGGAACTTTAAAGTACTTCATAAATGGGAACACATGACCTCTAGAACCAAATTAAGATATCATCAACTACCCATAATATTCATTCTATCATTTGGAGTAAGAGAACAAAACTTACATGGTCAGAGACTAATTGTGGAAATCATACGTTATTTATTTTTACTAGTGATTTCATGTTTGTTTAATTTTCCTTTCAATTATTTTCAAATTTTAGTTAGAAAAATGGTTTATTGCTCTGAAAAGCGGAGCAAAAGCACGATATTACGCGGGTTTGTGCGTTTCCACCGTATGTTGATTTTATCCGATTTTATACATTAAAGTTATTACATGGAAACTTAATGCATTAAGATGATCTAAAAACGTAAAAGTATAAGGTTTAAAACTTTAATTAAATTGCAATTTGACTACAATGATAGCCACCACTACTAGCTAAGCCTAAAATACACCAACAGACGATTTTCATCCTCTTCTAGTGTCCTAGATCTTTTGTTGCCTTCTCCACAACCCAACAGATGATTGATGTTTACCAATAGAGATTAGGGCACTTTCCAGCCAATACAATACACCGACTCTGAACAGTTGACTGCCATGTATGAGTGCTTCAAATTTTCATGGTACCTTTTCCTCCAAACTATTACTTTTTCAATGTTGTCAAAACCGAACAGAGTATCGACCTGAATTAAAAAGAGTTCACGGTTGAATGGTTAACCTGTAGGCTATCAATAAAAAATGGAATAACCTCTCTAGCCGCCATGATCTGGCCTTTGCCGATCCAAATCATTGACTTTCCAATTTATTGAAGAGGATCTGGCTGCACGGATTCGAGGTTGGAAGACCAAGGCATTATCTCTAGCGGCAAAGGAAGTGGTTATCAAGTCGATTGGGGCTGCGGGGCCTATCTATGCTATGTCGGCTTTCAGACTTCCCCAAGAAACATGTCGACGATGCAACAGTCAGTTGTCCAAGTTTTGGTGGGCACGCCAGGATAAAGAGAATGGCATTCACTGGGTCTCTTGGTCCGCGCTCTGTCAGAGTAAGTTTGTGGGAGGGCTTGGATTTCGGGATTTTAATCGCTTTAATGTTGCTTTGTTAGCTAAGCAGGCTTGGTGCATACTTTGTAACCCCTCTAGCACTCTTGCCCGGATATATCAAGCTCGATATCATCCTCAGCGGGTATTCTTAGAGGCAACGGTAGGCTCCCGTCCGTCGTGGGCGTGGCAAGGCATCCTGGCAGGGCGAGATCTTCTCAGTCGGGGTCTGAGATGGCAGGTTGGAAACGGGTCTCGGATCCGTACTCTAACGGATAATTGGCTTCCTTCTTCTCCTCCCTCTACACCAGTTTTATGGCCAGGTTTGAGTACTTGCCCTCCTCGCGTCTCGGATCTCATTTGCTCTACCTCTCACTCATGGAAGAAGGATCTCTTACTTTCTCTGTTCACCCTAGAGAGTGTTGATCTCATTCTGTCTGTCCCTCTCCCTCTTTCTGTGTCGACTGATCGTTTGATTTGGCATTACTCATCCTCTGGTCTTTACACTGTTAAAACAGGTTATCATCTCTTGTCTTCAGAGTTTGAGCTCAATCACCCTCCGGTGGCCCTCCCTTTTGATACTCTGTTTTGGAAATTTCTTTGGAGTATTCCTGTTCCTCCAAAACTAAAGTTCTTTTTTTGGCGGGCTGTCCGTGGTTTCTTGCCTTTGCAGATAGTTTTGTTTACTAAAACTCTTGTGACTGACACGACTTGCCCTATATGTTCTGAGGAGCCAGAATCCTTTGCCCATTTTTTCTTTTCTTGCAGGATTGCTCGCGGATTGTGGCAACTGGCGAGCCTTGAAGAATTGAGCAATACCCTTGGTGGAATGAGTCCTGACGAGGCCTGGCACCAACTTTTCTTTTCTATGAATTTGTCGAAAAATTGAGATTGCTAATGTTGTTTTCATTCTCTGGCGGATTTGGAAGGGGAGATGTTGGGCGGTCCATGAAGGCATTCAATATCTCCCAGTGGCTCTGTTTTGGCAGTTTCAGCGTCAAGTCGATGAATGGAGGACCTTAGGGCCACACCCCTCAACGCAGCCACCAGATGATATTGTTTCTGCAGCCCCAAGGCCCTGTCGTGCTCCCAGAAGCACCCATACGACTTCTGTGTCCTCTACTTCGATCAATGTCTGGTTTGATGGTGCGACCAAGCGTGGGCAAGGAGGTAGTATTGGATTTATCGGTTTCCATACGACAGGTACTGTTCTGTTTGCCTTTGGAAAATTTTATGATGGGATTCAGGATCCTTTTCTCATGGAATGCTTAGCTCTACGGGATGCTGTGCAGTGGTGTCTAACTCATTCCTTTCTTGCTGTTTGTTTTCATGGGGACTCTCAACTCTTGATCCGTCGGATGATTGGAGGGGATGTGCAATATTTTCGGGGTGGCGCTATATTGGAGGACGTTCGGAATGTTTCCATCTTCGTTTCACAATGTTTCCTTCTGTTTTGTGTCCCGTCACCTTAATAGGGCTGCCCATCATGTGGCACAAAAGGCCCTCTCATCGGGAGTTCGACTATTGGTCGACTCCCGCGTCGTTCTTTCTTCCGATTTGTGACTTTTGATTAATACTCTGACTTTGGGGGGAAAAAAATTATCTGTAACTTAACTACATTTTAATTTATCAACATTGACTAATTTTATAGAAAATAATAGACATAACTTCATATTATATAGGATGAAAAAAATCACCAAGTTTTTCGCTTTGGAATGATGTATACAAGTCCCGTCTCAAGATGATAGAGTTAGATAAAGTGCATGATATAAAAAAGCTGAAGGTTAATGATGGTTTGATCATGACATTGATAGATAGTTGGCGCTCGTAGACTCATACTTTTCATATGACAAAAGGAGAGTGCACCATTACTCTAAATGACATCACAATCATTATTGAAACGAGGACCGATGGAGAGGCAAAAAAGACTATGGATTTGGATTGGGACAAAATCATATTAATTAGCGTTGTTGGTGGTCAAATTCCTAGTCCATCGGAAGTTAACCAATCACCCCTGAATTTTTTTTTTTTTTTTGACAATCAATCACCCCTGAATTATGCCCAACTAAGCATGCTTTGGATTTGTGAGAGATTTAAGAAATTTCTGTAAGAGGCAAACTCTATGGTGGTTGAGTAGTATGCATGTGCATACTTGTTGTGCCTCATTGGTGGGTGGTTGTTTCCCAAAAAGTATACTAGGTTTGTCCATTTATGTGATTATCAATGTAGTCAAAAGCGTGATTTTACGTAGAAGTGGAAAGATGGGTAGAAGCGTAATCGTAAAAGCGAAACATAAAAACATAATTTTTTATATATCGAGTAAAATTGTTAGAAATTTTCTAATGAGAACATGTACTCTTTGAAGCATAACATTTTCCAATAACTATATTGGTCATACATTTTAAGATCAGTAGTCATAACACAAACAAATTTAATTAATAAGCTTGTAAAGCAGAATGAAATACCAAATCCATAGAGTATATTTTTCGTAGTTTTCTTGTACACATCATGGAACTTTAAAGTACTTCATAAATGGGAACACATGACCTCTAGAACCAAATTAAGATATCATCAACTACCCATAATATTCATTCTATCATTTGGACTAAGAGAACAAAACTTACATGGTCAGAGACTAATTGTGGAAATCATACGTTATTTATTTTTACTAGTGATTTCATGTTTGTTTAATTTTCCTTTCAATTGTTTTCAAATTTTAGTTAGAAAAATGGTTTATTGCTCTGAAAAGCGGAGCAAAAGCACGATATTACGCGGGTTTGTGCGTTTCCACCGTATGTTGATTTTATCTGATTTTATACATTAAAGTTATTATATGGAAACTTAATGCATTAAGATGATCTAAAAACGTAAAAGTATAAGGTTTAAAACTGTAATTAAATTGCGATTTGACTACAATGATAGCCACCACTACTAGCTAAGCCTAAAATACACCAACATACGATTTTCATTCTCTTCTAGTGTCCTAGATCTTTTGTTGCCTTCTCCACAACCCAACAGATGATTGATGTTTACCAATAGAGATTAGGGCACTTTCCAGCCAATACAATACACCGACTCTGAACAGTTGACTGCCATGTCTGAAGGCTTCAAATTTTCATTGTACCATTTCCTCTAAACGATTACTTTTTCAATGTTGTCAAAACCGAACAGAGTATCGACCTAAATTTGAAAGAGTTCATGATTGAATGGTTAACCGGTAGGCTATAAATAAAAAATGGAATCACCTCTCTAGCCGCCATGATCTGGCCTGGCAGTTTCCACGTGTTTTAAACATGATCGAACAGATTGCAGCTTATTATTCTATGGGGTGCATTGAAATCGAATTACACGTCTTTAGAGAGTTATAGGGGAGCAAGCAAATTATGCTCTCTGGCCGGCAATGTCCGATCGTCCTTGTCTTCTATGTTACGTGGTACGTACTATATGACAAGATAACGGATCGGATATAGATATAGTGGTTGTATCAGGACGTTTCCTCTTTATAAGAGAATTAATTGATTTATAAGTTCAACTCAATATCAAACATTAAATAAGCTAGTTAGACCTTATTGGGTTGAGTTTTTGTGTCTAAGTGGCCAAGAAAGTTTTTGTGTCTAAGTGGCCAAGCTTCTTATTCTTGGCATAGCAGTCGGCCGCCTTTATAGCCGTACGATGCCTCCACTCCCTTGGTATATATGAATTTCGGCTCCAAAAAACGAAGGCTAGAAACAAGGCAGCAAAATAGGGTGTCAAACGATAGGGTACCAAGTCGACGAAAGAGGGTTGGTAGGCTAAGAGTACCAATGGGCTAAGTTCAGGTGGCTAAGAGAGTTCCTTAGTCACATGACTAAGTGAATCTCATCCCTTCCACCTCATTAAAATCCAATGGCTCAGATTAATTCAATTTAAAGAAGGGTAATGTGATAATTGCATGATTTTATTAATTTTAAGGGTAAATTGCAAGTTTGGTCACTGAAATTACTAAAAAGTTTCACATTTGCCACTAGAATTGGATTATTCCATTCCTGCTTGGTACCAAGACATAAAATTGGTTAAGTATAGAGCCAAGAGGCTGTCAAGCCTGCACGGCGGGCTTGGTACCACTATATGAAAATTGGCTAAGTATGGAGTCAACAGGGTACCAAGCTGGCAAGACAACGCTGGTACCCAAACATAAAATTTGGTTTAGGTCTTTAGCCAAAAAGAGGTACCAAGCCAGCAAGACAACCCTGGCATCACTATAAGAAATTTGGCTAAGTATAGAGCCAAGAGGATACCAAGTCGGCAAGACAGAGCTTGGTACCAAGACATGAAATTCGGCTATGTATGAAACCAACAGGGTACCAGGCCGGCAAGGCAGCTTGATACCAAAAGACATGAAAATTAGCTAAGTATGAAGATCAAATTGGTAGGGTGCCAACCCTATGAGGGGACAAGGTGGCCATATGAGATGGCCACCTGATTGGGCACCAAGCTGCCATTGACCTCATAGCTTCTAGACTAAGTATTGAAATCTTAGGGACAGACGGTGGTTGGCTAGGATGCCGAGCTAAGAGGTTGTCAACTAGATGTGTATAGAGCCCCCTAGGGGGCCATATAGAGACTAAGTCCCAAGACGGGTTTCGTGACCCCTTAAATAGGGTACCAAGCCGGGAGGGCGTCAAGCTACCAACTATCCTGACGACTTGGTAGCAGGGGCGGGCATGACTGGCTTGGTAGCAGGGTGTATCAAGCAGGAGAGGTCAAGACTTCGATAATTGGTTATGTACGAACCATATATAGCAGCTCACGTCTTTCTCCAAAGGGCCAACCAACAGGGTGTGCGGGAGGCCCTCCGGCACAGGGCCTCCAAGTATTAGGGAGCAGAATAAGATGGTAGGTTTGATATGATACGGGCAGATTTGAATATAATGGTTCAATAGTAGTATTACCATGATAATATCACATTACATGGAACGAGGAAACAAAGAGAATAAAATGTACACCTTTTTTTTTTTTTTTTGACAGATCAACATGGAAGAAACTAATAAGTGTAATAAAATGGATAGTGGGATCCCAAGCTCATAATTTGCAGAGTACGTTCTACTCAAGTTAAGGGATCATCCTGAACCAGATGGAGCAATCCTGGAGGACGAGTTCCGCCGAAATGGGCTTGTGGCAGCCCGCGCGGATTTTGTTCTTCGCCGTCAGGAGACAGTTCCAGCAGTCGTACTTCCCCAGGTCTTCGTAGCAAACGGCGCCGCCTGTCAGGGATCCAGGGTTGCGATTCGGCATGCTGTGCCTGAACGAGAAGTCGTTGTTCTCGTCTCTGTATCCATGCCTCGTCCGGTCCACCAACGTATTTACGAGGCGCGCCACGTTGTGGTTGTAGAACTTGCTCTCGGACCTGCCCGTGCAGTCTGGTCCCTTCATGATCGTCATGTCTGGGAATTTGCCGGAAGCAAGGCTCGAAACCATACCTAGAACGACGATGGCAGCTACTGCGAGTTTCGACCTGTAATTCATTTCAGTGATCTTGTTGTTGTTGTGTGTTTTGTGTTTTGTGTGAGCGATCGTTGTAACCAGCGGACTTGGTTTTTATAGCTCAGTGTTATTCCTTGCCATTGGAGATACGGTTCTTTTTGTGTATCTATATAGAGAGTTTGATGTCATTAAAATAGCAGGTCAATGACCCATGCGGTAATATTCGTTCGTTGTCGGATTGCCAATAAAGCATGTGCGTAAAGTCCGAATCCTCATAAAAATGACAGGCAATATCCGCCTTTCAAGTGACAAACATTTTTATCAACACTTGTTCACTTCGGAAATTCAAGTGACAAACATGTTTGATAGGGTGGCGGGCCTTCCCATTGCCCAGAGTGTAACCCAGGAAATGAATGATAAGCTAACGGCAGAGGTCATACCCCAAGAGGTTCGCAACACAGTTTTCCCCATGGATTCCAAACAGGCTCCTGGCTCTGATGGTTTTACAGGAAAATTTTTTAAAGCCTTCTGGGATATTGTTGGTGAGTCAGTGATTGAAGCTGTCCATTCATTTTTTGCGACTAGTAGAATGCTTCGAAACTTCAATCATACTTGGCTGACTTTGATACCCAAGGTTGAAAATGTTGAAAATATGAAGCAACTAAGGCCTATCAGCTTGTGCCAATTTGTTTACAAGATCATTACTAAAATTATGGCTACAAGACTGGCTGATATCCTTCCGGGCGGGTTAGATCTAGTGCTTAAGCCTAGAAGCTTAAGCCTAGAAGCTTAAGCATATGTTTAAGTTAATTCTATTGGCTGCAAGTAGTTTAGTTAAGCCTAGAACGACGATGGCAGCTACTGCGAGTTTCGACCTGTAATTCATTTCAGTGATCTTGTTGTTGTTGTGTGTTTTGTGTTTTGTGTGAGCGATCGTTGTAACCAGCGGACTTGGTTTTTATAGCTCAGTGTTATTCCTTGCCATTGGAGATACGGTTCTTTTTGTGTATCTATATAGAGAGTTTGATGTCATTGAAATAGCAAGTCAATGACCCATGCGGTAATATTCGGTCGTTGTCGGATTGCCAATTAAGCATGTGCGTAAAGTCCGAATCCTCATGCGAGGAATTTGTAGCTGCCGGCCGGTGGAAATTTCATTCGGCAACATTTACAAGTGACAAAATTGGAAAACGATACAAGAAGGGATAGTTACCCTTGTTACCTCAAATGACATAAACTAACAATTATTATATTATATTAATAAAATTAAATTAATAATAATATAATAATATGATCAAATCACAAGTAATTGCACGGTTGCTTACAATGAATTCTCATTTAACTTTCACTGTTCATAAGTTAACAATCTTTGTGCGATCATGTGTATTTTAATCCTCCATCAATTATTTTTTTTCTAAATGATTTATTTATTATTAACAATGTAAGTTAGCTCGTGAATTACAAGTTATTACAATAGTTTAAGAAGTAGTAGCGACACAATATAAAATACAAGTTAAACCATCTGAAATAATATTACAGTGAAGACATAGAGAAGCTTCGGGTTGAGGTATGAGAGACGGGAAGACAAATGATTAGGGAGGATGAAAAGGGTTTGTTGCACTATCGAGTAAAAATTGATTGAATGTTTGTGCTTCTTGTCAATCTAGAAGAGTTTTAACGAGACTCCAATTGATGCAATTGTTCACAACTGTCGAAACTTAGTTCAATTAGTACGATGTTGGTCGCTTTGGACCAAACACGTAAAGTTTTATTCTTTTTTTTTTCTATCCTCTTCAAAAGATCTCGTATTGTTTGGTGGACACTACAAGGATCAGTTCCCTTGTATTTCCGATGTGGTAGTTGGACTGTCTCATAACAATCCTCTCCTCAAGACAAAGGACCACGTACTCTGTGTCCTTCCTCAACAGTTATCTTGATCTGCCATACCAGATGTAGATCACTTTTGATCTACCAAACACTCGTGGACCTCCCTTTATCCGCCAAACAGACGCAGATCTCAAATACTAAGGTCACCGAATGAGAGTCCCACCAAAATGACGTCCACCACCTCGAACCGAACCATGATCTAATACCACTTGATGTAACCGGATAGCTCCATTAGCAGTTTAGTACACTACTGTCCGCTTTGGGCCAACCATGCACGAATTTACTTTTGGGTATCCTCTCTAAAAGACCTCATATTAATAAGTTTGGTGGATACTAATATCAAGGTTCTAAAAGGCGCTAGGCGTAGCCTAGGCGTTCAGAGCATAAATGGAAAAATTCTCAAATATTTCATGTTTTCTCGAATAATTCATATAATCCAAGTGCATATAAAATTAGCAATGCCTAGTTCTTAACAATAAACACTTAACATAACAAATAACAAGCAAATAGTGACCAATCATCTGCTAATAGGTGCTTATAGAGGCAAGAAGCTTGTGCTACGTACCGAGGAGAAGGAAGGAGCAGCAATTGACGAGTTTCGACTTTATTTCCCACTATAGCAGCGGAGCGGTGTGAAGACGAGAAGAGTGATCAATGACTTTCTCCTGCGGCAGCAGAGAGCAGCAAATGGGGCGAGAGCTAGGGCGGCATGCGACAGCTGATGTTACTTCTCGTGTTTCTGAATTTCTAGGGCAAGAGGCAAGTTTCTGATTTTTTAGGACAAACGAAGAGTATTGGGTTTAACGGCCTAAGCTCGCCCAGGCACGCCTTCTCTCCACTAGGTACAAACTAAGCGCTATTCCTACCTACTAAGCGCTACCAGCGCCTTTTACAACGCCTATGGCCAAGTCAAGGCGATCCTCCACCGCCTAGTGCCTAATTGAGCCTAGGCGCGCGCCTAGGCGCGCCTTCTTGAACTCTGACTAATATACAAGGATCCTTTCCCTTGTATTTCCGTTGTGGTATTTGGATTTTCTCATAACAACAACCTTGTGCATTACGTTGTCCATGTACAACTGTTATCTCTAATAGTACTGAATTTTCGCTCTAACCAAATGTTCCAAATGATGGCATGACGCAGTAATTAATCTAGTTAAGAAAGTGGGATAGTCTTGCTCCCTTGGTCAAGTGGCTCCCTTGTTTTAATGGACTCCCAAATTATAACATAAAGTATACAAATTAGACAAACAAACATTACAAATTACAACATATACAAATTAGTCATATAAATTGATGTAATCCTACAAACCGATCCAAAACCACTCAACTCAGCAGCAGGAAGAAAGAAATTACTTGAGGACTAAGTTATTGATTTTGGACAAATTCTTTCTTTATTTTCTTTCCCTTTTAGGAGAATCATTGCTTTATTTCCTTTCCCTTTTGAGCAGATTATTAGTTTATTTCCTTTCCCCTTTGGTGTTTGGATTCTTTGTTTGATACGAGATGATTTTTAGCTTTAATTAAGGTTAGATACATTATTTTGTAACCTCTATAAATAAAGGAGGAATAGCCTATAGGATGTGAAGACTTTGATAAATTGAAAAACCTTTCTGTTCATTGAGCGTGTTGCTTGTGATTTTTTCTCTTGTCGTTGGTGGACTCCAATCACGTTGAGTGTTGTCTCTGCATTAATCAAGTATTCCCCTTGATTGTGGTCGAACTTCTATCCTTATATTGATAGAGTCTTCTCCCAGGTGTGATATTGCACTTCAATTCCCCTTATCCTTTTTATTTTTCGTGTTGTTGAGAAAATATCAGAAAATCCTAAAAATGTTGAGGCTGCGAGACTTTGATAACTATGGGTACCGGTTCCGTGCTCGTATCAAGTGGTATCAGGGCTCCGGTTCAACACAGTGGCGAGGTTGAAGGCGAGAGGACCTGTTTCTTCTTGTACAAGGTCTAAGATCCCATAACACACCGCCAAATCAAAAGAAGAGACATCATTCGAGTAAAAAATCCCTTTTGAAGAACCCACTTTGGCCGAGCAGCAAGTTAATATGTCTGAACTGTTGCAGACCACATGTGAAATTGAATGCAACCTTCCAAGTTCAATTCGACCAGATTAACAAATGGCTAGATACCCTAGCACAACCAAACAACGTGTTCCCGCCGGGAGCTGTAGTAGGACTCCATCAGATTCCGGAGAGAGATCGACAGTAGGGTGTTTCGACTAGAACCGACCAATCCCTAGAAGAAAGACTTTTCAACCTGAAGCAAAGATTGATCACCATAGAGCCCTATCAAGTGTGTCAGGAACACGAGCTTCGTGATTAGGGTGGGAGGCCACCAAAAGCCGGACACGTAGACACTGTTGCTGGATTGTCCAGAATCAAGCTGTAAATTACGCCATTTTAAGGATCTCTCAATGCTTCTGCATACCTGGATTGGGAGAGGAAGATCATCCTGTTCTTCCAATATGGCAACTATAGCGAGCAACAAAAGGTATCCCTAGACACATATGTATTCACTGGTTATGCATCAGTATAGTGGGAGTAGGTACATCTCAAGAAAAGAATGTATCTACAGTCGAATGTGACAACTTGGACTGAATTGAGAGGGCTCATGAGAGAGAGGTTTGTGCCAGGTACTATCAAAGAAAGCTCTTTGATTCCTTGCAGGAAATTCGACAGGGAGCTCGATCTGTTAAGGAGTATTTCACGTGGCTTGAACTGCGCTCATGATGAGAGCAGATGTGAGGGAGGACAAGGAAACCAAGATTGCACGCTTCTTATATGGGCTCAACATAGAGATCAATCATGAAGCCGATCTTCGCTAGTTTGTGGAGTTGGAGGACGTGGTTCACCTAGCCACTAAGCTGGAGAAGCACATGAATGTAAGCTCGGGAAGAAGGTAACCACCTTTGCTCAAACCAGTTGCAGAGGGAATTCCTGAGGCCAATTTGAATCACTCTAGGCTAGAAGGTGACATGCCAACGACTAGGGATACAACCCAGTCATCCAACTCATGAATGAACGCTCAACTAGAAGCATCCAATGGTTCAAGTGCTTTGGACGAGGTCACAAGACCAACCAATGCCCCAACAAGAAGGCTCTTGTCTGGCGAGATGGAGAATACTTTTCTGAGGAAGAGTACGAAGAAAAGGCCTTGTGGAATGAATTTGGTTCTGATGGTGATTTTGAAGATGATGATGTGGATGAGCACATCAAGGCTGAAAAACCTCCAACCAGTAAACTTCTTGGAGTGAACTACCAAGCTTTATCTATTGAAGCTTACATAGAGACGGAGCAGAGGGATAATCTCTTTCACCTCCAACCGACCCTATTTATACTCACCCAACACTGGACCGGGCTCCTTCCACCCAACTCCACGTCAGCATCGCTTTTAATACTCCGTACTTCTGTCAGGCTCGGTGCCCCGACCAACATGTCAATCTTCTGACAGATGCAAGGCGCCCAGACCGTACTCCCTTGGAGTCTTCCGAGTCTTGTCTCCTAATTTCCCTCATCATGCTTGGGCTTGGCCTCGTGGGCCAACCCGTGGGCTTGCCCAATGAAGTAACCCTACTCTTCGTTATTGGGCCGTATTGGGCTTGCATTTGAGTCTCTCTTTGTAACGCCCCCAACAATAGGTGTGATTTAAGTGGGTCGAATCAACTCTTTGGGCTCGTTAATTGTTGGTATGTGTGAACTATGGAGTCACTTCCGCATTAAGCAAATCGTCTAATGCCGGAATTACCCCTCCGATAATTGCCGTGGAGACTTCAAATTTGGAATAGAGTCCAGCTTTTCCATTACACTTTAATATTATGTGTCGACTCTTCTTATGTCGGTCCATCGAACATATATTTATTCATATGAGCACTGGAGGAAATAAATTACGTAGATATAAGCTTGAAACTGCAGAGAATAATACATTATCGTTAAAAATAGAAAAAGAAAAGACTTAGAACGCCAGATTTATAGGCGGATGAATAGAAATCAAGCAAACGAGAGAAAGTAATGCGCAATGTGACATATTTCAGTTAATAAGTCAAGGCACGTTCTTGAAAGAAATAGAGCAGTCCCGGAGTACAACGGCGGACGCGACAGGGCGGCGGCAACGGGCCTTGACAATCTCCTTAGCAGTGAAGAGACACGACCAACAATCCATCCGACCGAGCTCTCCGTTGCAAGTCGCAACGCCGTTCACCGAGCCCCCGATGTCGCGATTCGGGTAGCTGTGATCGTAAACGTAGTCCGCTCCCGGTTTCCTGTACGTGTTCTTCGTTTCGTCCACGAAGAAATCGAGCAGATGCCTCAAGTTGTTGTTGTACTCCTTGTTCGAGTTCCCCGAGCACACTATTGGGCTGACCAGCTTGGTCTTGGGAAGTCTGGCGTCGACTACGACGCTCAAACTTGTACCCGCTACGGCGAGAAACAGAATTCCGGCCACGGCCAATTTCGGACCGAAATACATGTTCGATTTCTGTGATATATATGTGCAGGAAATTGGTTAGGATGTGAGCTCGATTGTATATAAGGTAACATGCCGACGCCATTTTATAGCTAGTTTTTCACCGTAAGGGGGGGACAGCAAACAAATTCGGCTATCTGGCCGGCAATATGCGATCCGGAACGCACTAGATGACAAGTTAGACGACTGGTCGGAGATAGATCAGATCGATGTCGTGGTGGCCAGGAATCGTGAGATCCATGACTGTGGAACGGTTTCCTTCCCAAGTGAATATAATGTGACACTTTTCTTCTTTGTCTCGGAATAATGATGTGCGCCCTTTTTGTCTTCCCAATTTATTAAACCAAAGGGTTGAGATTATGCATGGCCAATGGATGTGCGCCAAATTGACTTTTAAGAATAGGGTTATATGTATAATATGCCCCCTCTACTATGACGTTTTATCAAACATGTCCTCTATACTTTGAAAAAATTATCAAACATGCCCTTATGTTAAAATTTCCATTGAAAAAATCATCAATCATGGCTGAACCGAGATTTAGACAACCCGACATCGGCAAATGGGAGCGAAAATGTCAGTTTTGTCTCCCGTTTTATTTCTCTGGGTCTCTTAAAAGTGAAATTATTTGAATTATTTAGCTATACAAAAGAACAAAAAAAAAATCTAAAGTGAAATTATAAGGGATATTTTAGACATTTGTGCCGCCCAAACCAAAGTTCGACCTTGGTTAATGGTTTTTGGATGAAAATTTAAACAAAAGGCCATGTTTGATCGTTTTTACAAAGTACAAGGGCATGTTTGATGTAAAAAAATAGTATAAGGACATGTTTGATAAAACGTCATAGTAGAGGGTCAGATTATACCTATAATCCTTAAGAATAATATAACGATTCATCATTATTGAAAATGTAATATATTTGTACGTTGTTCAAAAATCAAAATAAATTTATCTCTAATTTTTCGCATATTTGTTCATTGAAAAATTCTACATGAGATTATTTTCAATAGTTATTATGGCTATTCCATTACGATTTTCTTGTATGAGTTTTCTTAATACAAATAAGATTTTTGAAACACAACAATACTTTAACAATCAAATCAATATACTTTTCTAGTGTAAAGAGTCCCATCTGATGATTGAAAAGCAGGTTAAGCAGGGTATGAAGATGCCGAGTAGGTCTGCAAAATCAAAATCCAAAAAATAATCGTGCAAGCTTGGCATATGAGGGGATTTAATCACCTCGACAAGCATAAGCATATTTTAGAGGTTGTTTCTCATTTTAGGGTATATTTGTTTGCTATTATTGAAACAAGAGTGATGGAAGAAAATTCAAAAAATATAGTAGATAAAAGTTTTGGAGATTGGGAATTTGCTCACAACTATGAACATGCTGCTTTGGGTCGTATCTGGTTTTTTTTTTTTTTTTTTTTTGGAGGAAGGACATGAAGTTCACTGTCTTGGAGAGGTCGGATCAATTTGTACATGGTGAAGTTAGTGGGGAGTCAACGATAAGAGTAACTTTCATATATGGTTCCAATGAAGAGAGTGATTGTAGAAGAATGTATAGTCATCATGCCTTACAGCCAGATAGAAATCCATGACAGGTACTTGGAGATTTTAATGCCATCAGGAATATCTCTGAAGCTTCGAATAATCCTGATAGAACTTCAAGTACGGAGTCTTTTGGAGAGAGGATTAGCTAAATATTGATTTTTATCTTGGTTTTGAGCTTTAAACTTGAACTTGTTTATATATCAATCAAGTTTTTCTCTTAATTATGGTCAAGTTTCTACCTTTTATAATGTTAAAGCCTTCTCCCATCTTGTGTTGAGATTTTACTTTCAATTGTATCATATCCCAAATAAACAAAAAAACCCTAAATTTTTTTTGTTCGTTCTTGAAGCATTACTTTGATAACTAAGTATGTCGGTTCCATGATCGTATCAGGTGATATCAGAGCCCCAGATCTACACAGTGGCACGATCCAAGGCGAGAGGACTTACAAATTGTATACTCAATTTGACATTGTGACAAATAAAAATAAATGTTTGGATTTCAAGAGGTTGAAAAGTAGATGAAAGGAGAAATTTCGGTTGTTACAATCCTCAAACTAATATTGACGGGAAAGATAATCATAAATTTAAGAAGAACATAGACAAGTATAGTTTCCGCTCATAATAGGTTCCACAAAGTTAGAAATTGAAGTATTACATGCGCTAGACCCTAATCACAACCAGTAACAACAATATATAACAAAAGCAAATATAGGATGGAAAATACGATGAAAAATACAAAGCTCAGGGATCTAGGAGTGTAGGTGGCACATATTTTTTTTAATATACAAAGAAAAACATAGTGAATTCAGCGAATCATTTTATACCAAATGGAGCAATCCGCGAGTTCGATCCTCGCATCATGGGTGTGGCCACAGTTGTCGTTAAGCTTGTTCTTGGCAGTCACCAAACATGACCAGCAATCCAGTTTCCAGAGCTGCCTATCACAAGTGGCGCCACCAATGACAGAACCGTTGTCGCGGTTGGGATAGCTGTGAACGTAACTATAATCATTGTAATTCTCGCGTCGCACGTTTTTTGTCTCATCGACCAAAATGTTGATCAGACGTCTCACTCTTTTGTTGTACGTTCGATCCTCTGATTTGCCGACGCAATCCGGTCCCCTGATGATGCTCTTCACCGGAAGTCTTGCGTCAACAACGAAGCTCAACAAACCCAGAAGCAAAAAAGCTGCCATCGCCAATTTTGACCTGGAATATTCCATTTTTTTTGCTTCACTCTCTGTTTTTCTCTGTTTCAGCTCTTTTATGTACACTCTTCTCCCCCAGGTGACCCTATGAGCTATTTGGTTACGGTGTGTTTAGGGTGAGGAATTAGTGTAGCCTACCCACTCTTTTTATAGCTCAAAAAGTTCGGCACCAGCAGAGACAAAAAAACAAAGAACAGAACAATCCTGATACGAAAGTGCCTTCAAAGATCTCATCGACCTACAGAGAGACAAGGCAATGCATCAGCAGCAGAATACGATTGCGGCAGGGATCATCTATCTATATCTGCAGAAAGGACAACCAAAGCGATATAAATTTAAGAACTTTGGTCGTATTAGTTTTTTGGTTTTTAACGAGATGATATGAGTTCTTTATAATTGGAGAGCCCACATTAACTACTAAAAGTCACAACCTGAAGGATTATCACCACAATCAATTAGCAATTTTGAAACTAGTGGCCTTTCTACCATAAAAAAAAAGTAAGTGATTCCCCTGTCACATCATCAATTTTGCCAATATATTCATTCAGTAATTTCTTAAAATTATTAAATAAACTCTTCAAGAATTCTACACCCTCTAATTCAGTAAAGATGTGTTTGGATAGAGGGATTTGGATTTGATATTTGTGATTTGAATTTCTAAATGTCAAATCATTTGTTTTGATATTAATTACATTTTGAATTTTGATTCGGTATTTGTCTGGACTGGGGATCATGGGAAAAAGAACCCTCGGGCGATGGGTTAAAATCATTGATCGGGAATTTGCAGGGTCCAACCAGGGGATCGGGTCTGGGTGACGGAATTTTGAGTTGTTAAGTTATTTTTGCTATTTTAATTATCCAGACCTATATAAAGGCTGAAATTCGGGTTTTAGAGTTATTTTTTGCTGAATATTGATTTTTATCTTGGTTTTTAGCTTTAGACTTGAACTTGTCTCTGTATCAATCAAGTTTTCCCCTTGATTGTGGTAGAGCTTCTACCTTTTATAATGTTAGAGCCTCTCCCATGTTGTGTTGAGAGGACATGTTTCTTCAGGTACGAGGTCCAAAGATCCCATAGCACATCGCAAATCAGAAGAAGAGTCGTCGTCCGAGGAAGAAATTCCTTTTGAAGAACCCACAATGGCTGAGCAGCAACTTAATATGTTAGAACTGTTGTAGACCATCACAACTCAAATTTCCAAGTTCAATTCGTCCAAATTAACAAGCGGCTGGATACTCTAGCACCGTCGAACAACACGGCCCCTCTGGGAGGTGTAGCAAGAATCCATCTGATTTAGGAGGGAGATTGACAGCAAGGCGTTCCGACTGGAACTGACCAAACGCTAGATGAAAGACTTCGCAACCTAGAGCGAAGATTGATCATAACAAAGCCCAATTGAGTGCGTCAAGAACACGAATTCCATGATTATGGTGGAAGACTACGAGAAGCAAGACATAAAGATACTATTGCTGGTCTATGCAGAATCAAGCTGTCAATTCTGTCATTTCAAGGATCCTAAAATGCGTCTACATACCTACATTGGGAGAGGAAGATCATCTAGTTCCTAATGTGTGGCAACTACAACGAGCAACAAAGCTAGGGATGGTAAAAATATCCGTAACCGTGGATATCCGCCCGAATCTGGCCTAGTCGGGTAGGGTAAAACCCGAACCCGAAGGACATTTAGTGGGTACGGGTAAAACCCGAACCCGATTATTGCGGGTAATGGGTGGGCATGGATTTCTCACTATCCGACCCGAACCCGCCCGATTATACACATGCATATGTATTTTGTCTAGAAATAATCATTATTTTTCTCTAACATATTTCATATTTAGCATATAAATATAACATTTTCATGAAATTGTGTTGTTTTAGTTAATTTTCTTCATTTTAGTGAATTCTTGTCATACTTTTTCTCTTACTTAATATAAGAATACGTTTGAATGTTAACATATTGGTTGGAGTTATGAAGAGAAATTAATATCCATGGATAACCGTGGATACCCGAAACCCGAACGGGTATGGGCATGGTTTTAATTTTCTACCTGTTTCACATGTGGGTATGGGTATGGGTAAAACCCGAAGTACTTTGGGTAGGGTAACGGATATGCACTATCCGCCCCCGACCCGACCCATTGCCATCTCTAAACAAAGGTATCACTAGCCACTTATGAATTCACTAATTATGTAGTCTTATGGTGGGAGCAGGTATAACTCAAGAGAAGAACGAATTT